CGGGGCGGGCACGGCAGAGGCCGTGCCAGCAGGCGTGGGAAGGAGGTTTGGCATCGAAGTGTGGGGGACTAAAACAACGTAAGGCAGGAACGTATGTCGTCACCCGCTGCGACTTCAGCGGTCGCTGTGCATTTTTCTCAGCCAAAGACTCTTGGCAGCTGTCTGTGGAGGTTTTCATCCCGTCTGTGGGGAGTGACGGCTGCCGGTGCTGTCAGCCAGGCCGTTTTCACAGGGAGTTTGTTGTGTTGGCCACATTTCTGATCCGGGCGCACAATTATATGAGAATATCACTTTTCCTATTTTTTAAAAGGATGTTCATTTTTGAAAGTGAGAAATAACGCTTCCTCTGTGCACAGCCTTGCCTCGGTTCATGGTAGTACGTTCAGCAGACGTCTACCTTCTCCGGTCACAAACGCCTCTGCCAAAGAGAAACGTAAGGAGCCGGGGCACAGCCGCCAGCTGCATCAGGCACAGTGTGTGTGAGAGATGTCCAGCAAAGGAGCAGGAATTATTTAGCAAAGCTACAGCTTTAGTTTTATAAAGTGTGAGAGGGTTTCTTTTGCCACTTTGGGGGAACATTTTTTCCACTCTCAATTTTAAGCGAAGCAATCCATGTAGATCAGTAGGATGCTTCTCGTCAGGAGCAGAGGTTTATTTGAACTTGGGTGCATGGAGACCTTCAGGACCACAACCGAACCAGAGAAGAGGTGGTGTTCCTGACTCTGGTATCAGCTTCTGGAGTGTTTCGTGGCAAGTCACTTGCTCTTTGTTCATGGTTGTGGTCAGGACAGACTAAATGCATGCATTAATTATGCAATGATTGGATCCCTGTGAAGGAGTTTGTCTATTTATTGCCTGTGTGAAAGCGTGGTTACTAATGCAAAGAACACACGGAGGTTACAGGGCAGTGATTTTCTCTGTTTTCCCTCTCCTTGCCGGCAGAGGCAGTGGGTACCTGTGGCTGGGAAGAGCAGCCTGCAGAGCCGGGTGGCTGCAGCTGTGCAGGCTTGGTCCCAGCTGGCCCTGAAGGGGGAAGGGGGGGTGTCTTCTGGGTTGCACGGTCTTTGCTGGTTGGCGAGCGGCTCCAAGGTGTTGCTAGTTGATTGGCGTAGCATGTTGCTAGGCGAATGTTCTTGTATGACCTGAAGTCTGCTATTTCTGCCATTTATGGCTTTTTTTTCATAACAACTGTCTAATTGTGCTTTAGCTGACAAAGCTTACATTGCGAACAGGTACACAGCAACATAACCAAAGGTCAAACTGTGGGCCAAGATGCCTCCCTGTATGTTTTATGTTAATTATTGTGGAAAATGCCACCTAAAAGTGCTTTGGAAAAATGATCTTTGCACAGCACTAACTCAACCTGTGCAACCCTAACTCAGTGTATAGCAGCCTCATCACACCCACCATGATTCTCCAGAGACACGAAAAGCTTCTGAAGGTAGTGTTATTTATCTGTGGCCTGAGTCCAGTGCGCTGCTCACCATATACATCTCTCAGGTTTTCTCAGTGTCTGTCAGACTTCAGTCAGCAGGATTAATGTCCCCAGCTGTATCACTATTGGATTATTTCCCTTTGATCTCCTCAGGGTTTCCCAAGCTCACCAGCAGTAACGCTTCGTGACTTAATCTTTGCATAGGCTACTGAAAACCACAGATGTGTGAAAGAGACTGTAAAGTTTATACAGAATAAAGAATTGTGAGATAGAGATTAGTTTTAAATTACTGTTTTATTCCCATGATTGAAGACACAATCAGGTTTTGTAATTCAGGATTTTGGCTGCAAAATGTGGTAATGGACAAGGGTATGTATTTGAATTGCTAGGGAACTACTTAATCTGCCTACTATTCTGGGGACTAAGTTTAAACCACAGGGAGAGAGGGTTTGTGATTCCTTGGCAGCTGTTGTTTGTTGTATGGAGAGAATTCCCCTTCCTTGGAATGGGCAGATGAAACAAGAATATTCCCTCGGTAAATTGTGGGAGCAAAGGGTGGAGAGGAAGCTAATCCATTTTATCTCCAGTTTTGTTTAGGGTAAGGGAAATTAGACTTCTTTGTTTTTCTTTCATTTCTGAACATCTTCCACCTTGGGGAGAGGGACAAGATGAAGGAAGGTTCCTGTACTTTCAGTAGGTGTAGCTGGCAGTGAAAAGTGACTGTGTGGCAGATGTGTCAGTCTTCCCAGACACGACATACTGTCCTCTGCAAGCCAAACTGTTAATCTGAAAAAGAAACAAAAAGGAGGGGAAACCAGTTAGCTTGGAGTAAGAAAGACAGATGTAGAAAGACAGCAGGAGTAACCAAGCAAGGCAGAAATCGGAGAGTAACATCCCTGGTGAGCATGAAGCACCAGGAGGGGCAGGAACAAGAGGAGTCTTAGGAAGGTGACAACATGTCTCCCTTCATGGTGAGCAGCTCCTCTCTGCACTGGGGGGAAGCCTCATACCTGTGCCCGCTTGCGGAAGGCCTCCTGTGCAGCCTTCTTGTTCTCGCTTTTGCCCACCCATGCTGCCAGGGCAGAGGCTTGCAGGGCTCTCCCATAAGAAAAGGTCAGTTTCCAAGGCTTAGGCAGAGGGGACTGATTCATGGCGTTCAGGTTGACAGAAGCCTCCTCTTCACTCTGACCTCCAGACAGGAAGCAGATTCCTGCAAGAAAGAGGTTTCGAGGCTTAGAAAAAGTCTCTGCAATCCCTGACCTTTATGTGCCAGAGGAGCAAGCATGTCAGATGTAGGAGCAAGGCCAGCAAGAGTGACAGTGTGAATGGATACATAGGAATCAATCGGGAATTACCGGGAACGGCAGCAGGAACAGTGCGGAGAAGAGTAGTGACAGTTGCTACGGCTACATCCTGAGGGGTGTACTTCTTGGGGCAGGAATGCCCAGCTGTCACCATGTTGGGTTTCAGCAGTGTCCCTTCCAGGTACACATGATGATCATTCAAGGCCTTGTAGACAGCAGCCAGAACCTGGAAACAGAGGATTGAATACAGACCTCTGCTCAAACCTTCACCTCAGCCTGCTGTGGAAAGACAGCTTATTCCTTGGGAGTGCGAGAAGATCAAATTGAAATTTGCTTTCTCATGAAATTTATCACAGGGGTTGCAGCCCTAGAAACACCACTGCTTTTTGAGATTACCAGGATACCACTCTTCCTATTTACTGGATTTGTCCCTGCAAACTGAGATACTGAAAGAGGGGTAAGTGTTTTTCCTCCCAATCCATCTTCTTGAGATTGAGAATGCTTACATTGGCAGTTTGAGTGGAAATCTAAAAGCATGGATTCTACTCTCGCGTTTGCTATTAAGTCATTATTTGACCGTGAGCAACTCATTTTTGTGATGCAGTTATGGAGTACCTTTTTGGTCAAAACTCTTTGAGATCTGTGAACACAAACTCTGCATAAGATTAGCTACTGATCTGTGAAGGGGAGGAGAGTGGCAGGAATCTCTTACCTTTTCTGTGACATACTGACAGCGCTGGAGATCATGGTCTCCATCAGGCAAGATTTCTGGCTCCACAATGGGCACCAAGCCATGCTAAGCAAAGAAAAACAGGGAAGTTCTGGGGAGTATGGAAGAAAAATTGTCCTTGTTGTCTACCCTGACTTTGTTGGTATTCCCTCTCGCCACGCTGCCCTTCTTCCTCATCTTTCCAAAAATCCTCACAGAGATCCACTTTTCAAGTTATCTAGCATGCTATCACAGGGAACAGTGAGAAGGGGCAACAGCATCTCAGGAAAGGTTGCTGGAGGATAGATACCTGCTGGCAGATGCTGGCATAGCGTGCCAATGTGTTGGCATTCTCTTGGATGGCAAGTTGAGAGGGTGTTGTGCTGGTGATCTTCAGCACTGCACGCCACTTGCCAAAGTCAGCACCGTCTTTCTTGTACTGGGCACAGCGCTCAGCCAGTCCATCCAGCCCTGTAGATGAAAGAACAGTGCTTCACTGAGAGCAGTTCTTCAGCACATAGCACTGAAAAGTACCATGACACCAGCCAAAGCTGCGACTCAGGTGAGTCATTCCATGGCTTTTGCTGCACCAGTCATAGCTTAGGCTCCTTAGATCTCTCCTTATCTCTTACCTTGGATGGTGGTTTCTCCATTTGTTCCTGCTAGGGGTGCTGTGCCTTTATCCAGCTGTGGAGACCAGAAAAACAGGAAGGGTTACAGAGAGATGGAGATCAGTCTCATTGTTATCTTCTTACCCACGGCTAGTCTGTCTTTGCAGGCTGACTGTGAGTAAAGTATGGGGCTGAACACGCTAAGGGTGCAAAGGTGGGAAATGGTGGAGCAAAGGGGAAGAAAAGGCATGAATTGGGTAAGACGAAGGGGCAATGTGTAGATGGCTGCAGGGAATGGCTCAAGAGCTCTGTCAGATGTGGAAAGGACTGGATTTAGTTTACTGCATGGAGGGATTTAATTGCAGTGAATGGTGAGTAGATGGGAGTTGGTGGATGAAAAGTTCCTGCAGATGTGGGAAATGCAGATGTGCCCCTGGTTAATTGTACAAAAGCAATGCAGAGAATAGTGGCAGAGATCCTTTACTGATGTTAAAACCAAGCACAAAAAAGAAAAAAAAAGTGTTTGGCAGGAGAGTGCAGGCCCATGTATAATTTTCACTGGAAACGGGGTTTGGAGTATGCTGCCAGCCAGACATCTACAGATACTCACCTTTATTCCCACCACGATGCCTTTTTCTTTGATGAGAGCTGGCAATGGCTTTCCACTGCTGTCTTTCTGGTAGAGAGTCTCGTGGAAGAGGATCACTCCCCCAATGCTCTGGTTGATGGAAGCATCTGAAGAGAAGAGGATCTCTCGAAAAGCCCTTCGATTCTCCTCCGTGTTCTCCACATTGATCCTCTGCAGCCTGTTCCCCATGGTACCTAGCGAGGTGGACAAAGGTCAGACAGAAAGGTATTAGGCTTGGCTGGCCTTCTGGTCCCAGTATGTAGTAATGAACTGGGGCTTCAGTTCAGAGCATCCCTTCTCAACCCATAGTTTGTCAGCTTTTTTTGCTATAGATGCAGCCCTGCCTGGCTGAGTTGTTCCTGCTCAGTCAACAGTTTTTAAGTGTTTTTAATTTACTCCACTGATTTTAAAGATGAAGCAAACTTAAGAGAAAGTCTTGGGTACTGCTAATTGATTGATATCCAGAACTCACCCACTGATTCATCTGCAGCTAAGATCCCCTTTCCTGAAGCCACAATCCGCTGAGCAATGTCTGAAAGAGCTTTCTTTTGCTCTGGAGACAGCGCTGGGAATTGGTGGGTCATGTTGACTTATCTGTGGAAGAGAATTACTGTTACCAGCTGGAGGAGACTGTATACACAAACTGTGAACCAGAGACACCACTTGGGTATTTCTACTGGAGGGCTCTTGATGCTTGTCTGGTCCATGTTATCATAGGCACATGCCCAGAAATCCATTCGAGTTCTTCTTGGCTTGGTGTGTTTGGCAAAAGTAGAAGAGAGAAATGCAGGAGCCACATTGGAACACATCCTTCCAGAACCAAAGTGGGAAAGACTCTGCATTTTACATGGATTTGCTCAGAGACTAAAGGAAGGTCAGCCTGTCATAAAAACATGCACCAAGCTAACGAGTATGCTAATTGCAGACTCTGCAAACTTCTTTGTAAAGCACTTACAACTTTTTGTACCAATCAGAAGAATGCCAGTTATCACATTGCTTACCTTTACACATGCCCTAACAGTGCCCCTCTCCCATGCCCTGGCCTGTGTTGGCAGTATTTGCTACTTTGTCTAGTTGCCTTTCCGTC